CCAAAACCCCAAAACCCCAAAACCCCAAAACCCCAAAACCCCAAAACCCCATATTAATGTAATAGCTTGTAAGTTAAGAGTAATTGATTAAATTAGATAATTTTCTTAATAAAAATTTGAAATGCAGGTTTCAAACACTTAACTCGAGCAGGTCAAGTCACTCCTAAAGGATCACTTAGAATCGCATAAATTCTTTGACAATCTCAAATCAGCAATTGCTAAAGATCCAAAGCACTCAAACCTTGATAGAAACGCCATAATTGAGAAACTTAGAAGTGAAGGAGTCCTAAATGATATATTACAGTAAATTCCAGTCAAGAAATAAGCAAGTCAGGCTGAGCAATCAGCGAAAGTGCAGGCTTATGAAGTGAAAAAGAAGGAAAAAACTGGAATTACAGTAAAGCTGTTCAACAATGAAAACTTAGATCCAGGTCGCAGATACCTTAGTGTCAAGGTTGTTCATTTGAAGGCATTTATAGATTTTATGAATGTTAGGGATGATGAGTATGTCTTTGTCACTATTCAATTTCTCCGATAGAGGTTCCAAACTTAGATTCAATTAGCTGGAGTTGATGTTGAATTTGATGACGAAACTTACATCTTTGATTTTGTGGGAGCAGATAATGACTAGGTGAAGTTTGACCCGACACTGCTCTTGAAGTTAAACCAAATGGTTCATATAACAATACTAAGACAGAGGAAAAATGAAAAGGCAGTAGTTATGGGGACTAAAAACATAGATTGGAGACCATTATTGCATTCAAATGCAATTGAAATTAATGCTGAAATTTTGCCTGTTGATTTAACTCACCAGGGATCACTTGGAGTCATTTAGTTGCACATGGATATAATTCCCCAGTTATCTAAAGTGGAAATCTTAAATGAAGACTCAGTGATGAAGTAATTATAATTAGAGAAGAAGTTTGAAACTGAAAGCTTACAGAAATTCTTAGACTATGCAAATGAATGGTGGAATGAGTATAAAATGATAAGGCATTAACACAAGACAAGACTAGTCAAAATTTTCGCAGAGACTGATGACAGAGAGGCATCAGTGTATAAGCCAGTATGCTCATTAGTGTAGCCTATGATTGCTGATAGAGTAGGCAATCTTGACACACCTTTACATGCAGCTAGACTTGTCAGTCTAATCCCCTTCTAAAGGCTTGAAGCACCAGGTAAAGATAAGGTAGAAGTATGGCACTCAATTTAAAGCTTTTTGTCAAGAGGATGTGGGGATTCTGAGGATCATGCTGTCTTACTCTGCAATTTATTACTTGGTTTTGGTCTGGAAGCTTATATTTGTATTGGTACTAATAGTGAGGGTAGCCATGCTTGGGTCCTTACTAAATCCTTGGTAGAGGCTTCTGGTAAGAAAAAGGTCTAATTTTGGGAATCATTAACTGGGTAGAAATTAGAGTTTGAAGATCCAAGAGTACATAGATTCTATAGAACAATTGGCTGTGTATTTAATCATAAATACTTCTTTGCAAATGTTCAAGCAGACGATAGAGTTATAAATACAAACTGGAACTTTGAAGATGAGTTTATGTGGAAAGGAATGTAACCTTAAATGATTAACATGCTTTCTCCTTCATAAGGAATTGGATATCTGATGCCAAGTAGTATGAATAATATAGCAAATGAGGAGAGATCTATTGAAAATATATTAAAGGAAAAGATTGGAAGTGTCAGAATGAATGATGAACACATTTCAACTAGTTGGGATAATCATCTATCATATTTATTGTCAACAGCCCTTCTTAACTACGAGATGGAAAGAATCGGTGGAGTAACATTTGCCAATGAAGAATTCTAAGCTTCTATAAAGAATCATGTCCCAGAAGGTCATGTATTCAAAGCTCTGCCGGTTTAATTCACTCACTTTGATACAGAGAGAATGATTCATCACATCTATAACAATAAAGTAGGCAAGGAAGTCATGCTTGCCAGAGGAGATTAAATGAAACATGCAGTTAGAGTTAAAATAGTTCCTTATCCTGAAAACGTTTGCGCAGTCTGGGTTATGGTAGCTTGCAGATACAGATCGATACACTGAGAGAAGTCTACTATTAAAAGAAGTTTGATAAATATACAGTTATGATGTTAATTTTTTAGATAGATTATTTTAAAGTTCTTTAACGATTTCCACATAATTTTAACAAAAATTCATAGTCAGCTTTTTGCCTAACTGAGAAATTAAGTTAAGAAAAGTTTAAGAGTTTGATGTCAGGAATAATATTAAATTTGTAAAATCGAATTGAATTTAAATAATTAGATTTAAATGGCAAACATTGATAGTCTTAATCTAGTTGATTTAATAGGTAGAGTCACCGATGTTGAGTTTTCTGGTGGACAAGATAATGTTCTGCTGCAGATGGAGATTTGTGATAGAATTAAGGCCTCTCACAAGGAGTAAAATATCTCTTTCGATTATAAAGTATATGTATAGGTGTAAATTGGCTTGTGAACTTATGCTAAAAAATCTGAAAGTGAAAAATTTTAGAAAAATCAAATTAACTCTTGAACTAATAGAAATCTGCTCTAAAAATGGCAATTTACAGTTTCATAAGCTACTCTCTGGCAAAGAGTTCTCAGATCAATTCTTGCTGATTCTGAAAAAGGTATATTTCAGTCAATATCTAGTTATTCATAAATGAAATAGAAAAGAACAAAAGGGGGAGTTCTGAAGAAAATTGAGTCTAAGCAAAACAGATTGATAAGAGAGTAAACAGAGGATTAGCTTCTATATTTGATTTAGCTGTGGGCGGATACGTTCATGATGAAAGAGGATCATTTCCCTGGATTTCAACTAACTTATCGCTAGTTGAGGAAAGAAGGTGTTTCATTCCCTATGAGAGATCCAAATGTCAGGATGTTAATGAGCAGTTTAGGAGTAGATTCACCCATGTTTGATTTTGTAGAATAAATTTCAGGGAGACCTACTTCATTGTCAATGCCACCTTAGCAACAAAGATCAAAGCAAAGGCAAGATTTGGAGAAATAACAGAAAAATTTGCAGGAAAAAGATGCTATTGAAGAAGTTGAGAGAATGGAGTTCGAAGATAATGAAGATGATTATCAATTAGCAAGATCTAAAGTTGATCCATCTGAGGTAAGTCTAAATTGAGTATTGAAAATTTTAAATAGTATGAAATCATCAAAAGTAGCTTGCAATTGCTAGAGGATATTTAAAATACTGCAGAATCATTAGATGAATTGAAGAGTGAGGTCGCTACAGATATATATTAAACATGCTTGATGATGAGGCGAAGAGTGGCTAGGATAGTTTAAGCTAAATCATTCACTAATACAGATATCGAGAGTGTCGCTGAATTACTTGACATTATCGACTATATTGATAAGAAACTTGAATCTTACAAGAAGAAGTATCTTAAGTATAAGTCTAAGAAACTAAGAGAAATTGAGAAAAAGAAGTAGAAAATTTAATAAGAAGAGTCTAAGAGTGATGATGAAGATGATGATAAAAAGAAGAAAAAGGCTAAGAAAAATAAAAGAGAGAAGAAAGTTAAACAAAATCAGAATACTGATTTACTTGATTTAGGAGGTGGTTAATAATTGCAGCTAGATGAATCTGAGGGAAGTGAGTCAGAGGGCAGTGAAGAAGAAAAGAACTAAAAGGAGGAATAAAAAAAGGAAACTGGATTTAAAAAATTAGCCGCGCCACCCACAAGTAAATCCCATGTGATATCAAACTTATAAAAACTAAAAGAGAAGTTATAAAAAGATTAAAACTTGGAACCAGCAGCGAGTTAAAAGAATGAAGATAAGGAGACTAATAATGTAATGGATATGCTTATTGATTTAGATATAAAGAGCGATCCCTAATCTATACAACCTTAGTAGAATCAGTTCAAATTAGCTTCAGGACTTGATGATTTATTTAGTATTGTTCCGACCACAACACAAGGTCTTAACATGACACCAGGAATGAATCAACAACAAACTCCAACTCCAGGATTTGTCCCAATGTATCATCAATCAAACCTTCAAAAGCAATATTAAGCATAAGTTATAGGTAATCCAGTTCTAAATCAAATGCTACAAAAACAATAGCAGAATCAATTCTAGAACCCACAGCTATAATAATAGTTACCTCTTTACAATAATTAGCAACTGAATTAAAATATACCTCCTCAAAATAATGTATTTATCTAACAACAGGCACAATAAATTGAAATGATTAAGTCTCAACCTAACAGCAATCAGTAAATTGTTAATAACAGTACAGGTCAAGCAAATGGAGGTGGTAATGATGAAGATTTTTTCGCAAATCTAGCTCATAGATGAATAAATATAAAAGTTTGTTGTTATATATTTAAATTCTTGCAATTTGTGAATTTAAAACACATCCTGGGGTTTTGGGGTTTTGGGGTTTTGGGGTTTTGGGG